ACATTACCTTGCCGACAAAGGTCCGCATAGTCAAAGCTATGGTTTTTCCAGTAGTGATGTATGGAAGTGAGAGCTGGACCATAAAGAAAGCTGACTGTCGAAGAATTGATGCTTTTGAATTGTGGTGCTGGAAAGTCTCCTGGACTGCAAGGAGATCAAACCTATCCATTCTGAAAGAAATCAACCCTGAGTGCTCACTGGAAGGACAGATCCTGAAGCTGAAGCTCCAATACTTTGGCCATCTCATGAGAAGACTCCCTGGAAAAGACCCTAATGTTGTGAAAGTGTTAGGGCAAGAGGAGAAGGGGACGACAGAGGACGAGATGGTTGGACAGGGTCATTGAGGCTACCAGCATGAATTTGACCAAACTCTGGGAGGGCCTGGCATGCTCTGGTCCATGAGGTCATGAAGAGTCGGACACGACTAAACGACTAAACAACAGCAAAATCCTTGAAGGATGGAAAAAAGCTCAGACAACCCTGACTGCCTATTTCACTAAAGGGGCTGCCGAAACTATGGAAAGCAATGACAGCATCCAGAGCAGAAAAATGTAGCAAACCTCTTCTCTTTCGGTGCCACTGGTTGCCATGGTGCAGTGAAATATTTATTTGTTTATTTCAGGAAATATTTGATTGCAGAGTGTCAACAAATGACATGGGCAGGGACACAGATGGACACACGTTTTCATCACCCCAAGAACTGGGGCTCTCATGCTCTCAGAATCCTGTTGCTCTTTTTCATGTTGGAGAGACCTCTCCATAATCATCTATAAAGTCCTCCGCTTCAGCCCTTCAGTCCCGTATTTTCTCAAAAGTTGCTTTTGCTATTATTCGGATAGCGCATCCCCCCCTTTTTTTTTAAATGGTGGTAGGGCTACACAGTCTTCCCTGCACTCAACCAACGGCAACCGTTCTTTCCGACATTATTCTCACTTCCTGCCCACGGAGAGGCCTCTCGCCCGACCCGCTTTTCCCATTCTCGCTCCTTGCGATGCTGTAGGAAGGGGAAGGCCGCCTCTTGCTCTCTTGTTCTT